GTACAGGTATGTGTTCGGGTACTTTGTACCCTAGGGGTACAGTCCTTGGTGTACAGGTATGTGTTCCGGTGTGCTTACAGGTATGTGTTCGGGTACTTTGTACCCTAGGTGTACAGGTATGTGTTCCGGTGTACTTTGCACCCTAAGTGTACAGGTATGTGTTCGGGTACTTTGTATCCTAGGTGTACAGGTATGTGTTCCGGTGTGCTTTGTATCCTTGGTGTACAGGTATGTCTTCCGGTGTGCTTTGTATCCTAGGTGTACAGGTATGTGTTCCGGTGTGCTTTGTATCCTTGGTGTACAGGTATGTGTTCCGGTGTGCTTTGGATCCTTGGTGTACAGGTATGTCTTCCGGTGTGCTTTGTATCCTAGGTGTACAGGTATGTGTTCCGGTCTGTTTTGTACCCTAGGTGTACAGGTATGTGTTCCGGTGTGCTTTGTACCCTAGGTGTACAGGTATGTGTTCCGTTGTGCTTTGTACCCTTGGTGTACAGGTATGTGTTCCGGTGCTTTGAACCGTGGTATGTGTTGCGGTGTACTTTGTTCCGTAATTGTATCTTTTCCAGGAAATTGAGGAAACGTTATAACTGCGTGTGGTGATACATTTAAATTCATTGAGTTTTAGAAAGAAAGAGTAAGAATATGATCTTATCAGCTGCCTACATACCTTATATTGGTTTACAGTGATCCGATAATTTGTTACATTGGTATGTGTTTGGACCTAATTAGACGTTTAAGGGGTTTGTATCAACTCTCTGTAAAATAGCCCCCATTACATTCATTCGGGTTAACATTTATTACGGAAATTGACTAAAATCCCAAGAACATCCCATATTACCCTGCACACAACAGTTTAGGCCAAGAAATACTAACAGCAACTAATTCTTGGGTTTCTGCTTATAAAAGACGGACAGCCAGTGCCTGTAGTATTGAGCCATATTTGTGTTGGGGGCATAAACATGATCAGATCCATCGATTGCAATTCTAAGACAGGAGTTCATGAACTGTCGAAACCGAGATTAGATAGTCTACTAACGTGATCACAGAGGCGCTTTACTTAACATATATGTGCAAAGCGTCTGCGTCGCTTGAAATGTGAATGGCATTATTTCTATGTGAAATGAAATCGGGAGTATTTCAATGAGCATTTCATCAGAATAAAACATTTATCCAATTAAATGTAGTATGAGGTAAAATCAAGTGAACGCCCTACATCAGATTGGACAAACTGACTAAGTCTTTGTACATTCATTAGATTGGACAAACTGACCATAGTTTTTGTACATTCATTAGATTGGACAAACTGACCATAGTCTTTGTACATTCATTAGATTGGACAAACTGACCATAGTCTTTGTACATTCATTAGATTGGACAAACTGACCATAGTCTTTGTACATTCATTAGATTGGACAAACTGACCATAGTCTTTGTACATTCATTAGATTGGACAAACTGACCATAGTCTTTGTACATTCATTAGATTGGACAAACTGACCATAGTCTTTGTACATTCATTAGATTGGACAAACTGACCATAGTCTTTGTACATTCATTAGATTGGACAAACTGACCATAGTCTTTGTACATTCATTAGATTGGACAAACTGACCATAGTCTTTGTACATTCATTAGATTTCAAGCGCTGTTGGAATATAAATGAATGGGTAAGAAATGTTCCATTCAAGTGAATGATGGGAATCCAAAGTTACAATGTGAACATGTGAATTATTCCCAGAATTGACCCCGCCAAGAAGAACAACTCATTTTCCATATCCAACATTCGAGTTTTGATTCCAGTGATGCCTTAAAGTAAATTTTATTGAGATACGATCAGCTGTTCAGGAGGAACACATTGTGCCATCGGGGGAGGGAAATTTCCTTCCATTTATACAACAACTAGTACACTCAATTGAACTAAGGACGCTCTAGCTATAACTTGGATTAAATTCCTTTCCCCATACAGAAGAAAAAGGATTGTTAAGATTTACCTTTATTTTCCACACGTGGGCCTAGCACTTTTACACTGGTACAAGGATGATATAAACCAGGTTAGGTTGGAAAAGTAAGATTATAAATATTAATATCTATTTCCAACATAGGATCCCGCTCCTCTGCCCCCAGCAGGGACACCCTCTGTTTAAACAACATAGGATCCCGCTCCTCTGCCCCCAGCAGGGACACACCCTCAGTTTAAACAACATAGGACCCCGCTCCTCTGCCCCCAGCAGGGGCACACCCTCAGTTAAAACAACATAGGAACCCGCTCCTCTGCCCCCAGCAGGGACACATCCTCAGTTTAAACAACATAGGATCCCGCTCCTCTGCCCCCAGCAGGGACACACCCTCAGTTTAAACAACATAGGATCCCGCTCCTCTGCCCCCAGCAGGGACACACCCTCAGTTAAAACAACATAGGAACCCGCTCCTCTGCCCCCAGCAGGGACACATCCTCAGTTTAAACAACATAGGATCCCGCTCCTCTGCCCCCAGCAGGGACACACCCTCAGTTTAAACAACATAGGATCCCGCTCCTCTGCCCCCAGCAGGGACACACCCTCAGTTAAAACAACATAGGAACCCGCTCCTCTGCCCCCAGCAGGGACACATCCTCAGTTTAAACAACATAGGATCCCGCTCCTCTGCCCCCAGCAGGGACACACCCTCAGTTTAAACAACATAGGATCCCGCTCCTCTGCCCCCAGCAGGGACACACCCTCAGTTAAAACAACATAGGAACCCGCTCCTCTGCCCCCAGCAGGAACACATCCTCAGTTTAAACAACATAGGATCCCGCTCCTCTGCCCCCAGCAGGGACACACCCTCAGTTTAAACAACATAGGACCCCGCTCCTCTGCCCCCAGCAGGGGCACACCCTCAGTTAAAACAACATAGGAACCCGCTCCTCTGCCCCCAGCAGGGACACATCCTCAGTTTAAACAACATAGGATCCCGCTCCTCTGCCCCCAGCAGGGACACACCCTCAGTTTAAACAACATAGGATCCCGCTCCTCTGCCCCCAGCAGGGACACACCCTCAGTTAAAACAACATAGGAACCCGCTCCTCTGCCCCCAGCAGGGACACATCCTCAGTTTAAACAACATAGGATCCCGCTCCTCTGCCCCCAGCAGGGACACACCCTCAGTTTAAACAACATAGGATCCCGCTCCTCTGCCCCCAGCAGGGACACACCCTCAGTTAAAACAACATAGGAACCCGCTCCTCTGCCCCCAGCAGGAACACATCCTCAGTTTAAACAACATAGGATCCCGCTCCTCTGCCCCCAGCAGGGACACACCCTCAGTTAAAACAACATAGGAACCCGCTCCTCTGCCCCCAGCAGGGACACATCCTCAGTTTAAACAACATAGGATCCCGCTCCTCTGCCCCCAGCAGGGACACACCCTCAGTTTAAACAACATAGGAACCCGCTCCTCTGCCCCCAGCAGGGACACACCCTCAGTTAAAACAACATAGGAACCCGCTCCTCTGCCCCCAGCAGGGACACACCCTCAGTTTAAACAACATAGGAACCCGCTCCTCTGCCCCCAGCAGGGACACACCCTCAGTTTAAACAACATAGGAACCCGCTCCTCTGCCCCCAGCAGGGACACACCCTCAGTTTAAACAACATAGGAACCCGCTCCTCTGCCCCCAGCAGGGACACACCCTCAGTTTAAACAACATAGGAACCCGCTCCTCTGCCCCCAGCAGGGACACACCCTCAGTTAAAACAACATAGGAACCCGCTCCTCTGCCCCCAGCAGGGACACACCCTCAGTTTAAACAACATAGGACCCCGCTCCTCTGCCCCCAGCAGGGGCACACCCTCAGTTAAAACAACATAGGAACCCGCTCCTCTGCCCCCAGCAGGGACACACCCTCAGTTTAAACAACATAGGATCCCGCTCCTCTGCCCCCAGCAGGGACACCCTCAGTTAAAACAACATAGGACCCCGCTCCTCTGCCCCCAGCAGGAACACTTCCTCTGTTTAACAACATAGGACCCCGCTCCTCTGCCCCAAGCATGGACACACCCTCAGTTTAAACAACATAGGACCCCGCTCCTCTACCCCCAGCAGGGACACACCCTCAGTTAAAACAACAAAGGAACCCGCTCCTCTTCCCCCAGCAGGGACACACCCTCAGTTTAAACAACATAGGAACCCGCTCCTCTGCCCCCAGCAGGAACACTCCCTATGTTTAACAACATAGGACCCCGCTCCTCTGCCCCCAGCATAGACACACCCTCAGTTTAAACAACATAGGACCCCGCTCCTCTTCCCCCAGCAGGGACACACCCTCAGTTTAAACAACATTGAGTTTTCTTGACCAAATATTGATGTTAAAACGGAAGCAACAGTATATTTTATATTTTTATTTACCAGAGATCTACACCCTTAATAAAAATTATGAGTCGTATGGGTTCAAGGGTGTTCTAGATTCGATTAGAATCAAATCCCTAAATTTCCATGGAAGGATAAGGATTTTAAATATTTAACTTGATTTCCTATTTTAGGCCACGCCTCTCTACACCCATAGGGACCACGCCCTCTGTTTATTCATTCATTCATTCATATCTTTATTCCTCCAAACAGCCAAACAATGATCCAGCATATTTAAGCTTAAATCAAGTGCGCTGTTCAGGACAAGAAGCGTTTAAAAGTGAAAAACTGACGGACGATGTACGATGGATGGACGAAAGGCGATAGACGGACGACAAACGTTGATGGACGAAAGACGATAGACGGACGACGAACGATGGGTGGACGGAAGACGATAGACAGACGAAGAACGCCGCCCTATGGTATCAACTCAGTTGTCCTTCCAATAAATTGAGCAAAGGAAGGAGAATGTAACGAACTGTTAATGAGACTTTTATTGCTTTTTTAAACACTTAACATATTAAAATATCATACTATGATAAATAATAAGTTATTAGAGCAAATTTATCAATACCGAACAGAAACTATCTCTTTCATATCCGTACTATACTTACAAAGTGATTTTAAACTAGTCTTTTTTCTGCTGTGGTTAAATCTGAAAAGACAGGAGAGTATAATTGTATTTTACTCCTCAAATCATCACAGTGTCACATTGCACACTAACACCACATCACAGTATCACACTACACACTAACACCACATCACAGTATCACATTACACACTAACACCACATCACAGTGTCACACTACACACTAACACCACATCACAGTATCACACTACACACTAAAAACACATCACAGTATCACACTACACACTAACACCACATCAAAGTGTCACACTACACACTAACACCACATCACAGTGTCACATTACACACTAACACCACATCACAGTATCACACTACACACTAACACCACATCACAGTATCACATTACACACTAACACCACATCAAAGTGTCACATTAAACACTAACACCATATCACAGTATCACACTACACACTAACACCACATCACAGTATCACA